CCAGAAGCACCCCCACCAAAAAGTCCAGTTGTGAGTATATTATTCTATACAAATAATTATGTTAAAACGCAGTTATTGAATTATCAAGTAATTGAAAAATACTCAAGAACTTCGTGGCGGACTGATAAAATCTAGAAAGATTTATGAACTGTAAGATAATCAGAAAATTTTAAGGAAATCACAGCATCATTATCCATCACTTTTTCGGAACCCATTTTTGATTAGCCTAAATAACCTTTAACTGCTACACATACTGATGTTTTTGCTACTACATTAAATTCAGCTTAACTCGGTAGCCAAACTAATGCCTATGCACTCAATTATGAAGTCAAACTTGTTCGTGAAATTATCCACACTATAGAACGGTGGTTGAAAGCAATACACCAAAATATTAGTATGAACGTTAGAATGGGAAATGAAAAGGACCAGTAGAAATGAACTTATGCATATTAATTGGGTTGACGTCTAAGCTTGACTAACGTAACTGCTGCCTTGACGTGGTGGTTCAGCTTGTTTATCGTGATGACTGAAGAGAGCTTTACTGACGCGTGTTTCTGTCGGACAACCAGCATCTGCAGCGATGCTGCTTTCTCACAACGGAAAGGGTTTAACTTCATCACTGATGTGCTTTTAGAGACGATACTTGCATTGTCTGACTTTTCAGGAGTTGACCTACCAGAAAACTCGCTTGTTGACAGAATATGCAGATGATATAGTTCTGTTTGGGGAAGACGCTGGCAAAATGCAGTCTTCTGACCACCCTAAGCAACAATGAAACCATGTGATTCTCTGCCTCGAAATGAGAAATGTTGCTTCAGGATTGGCTTGTATATCGGGACCTTACCTAGTTACATGAGGTGAAGTAGTTGAGCGTGTTGACCGCTTCACTTATCTTGAGAGTCTCATTAGTCCTGATTGTCTGGTATGTGAAGAAATCTCAGCGCGGATACAGAAGGCTTAATTGTCTTTTGCCGACTTGTCATTTATGGCGTAGGCGAGATATCCGTCTACCAACCAAAGGACGAGTGTACTGCGCAGCAGTAGTATGGCAACTTGAACTGATGTACGTACGTACGATGTTGTACGTTGTTGATTGATCGCAGCAGTGATCTCGGCATACTTTATAGGCATGAAGCATGGTCAGTAAAAATAGAGGATATTCGTAGGTTATTAGTATTCGATCATAGGTGTATTCTAAGCATTGCTGGTGAATTCTGGGACTATAGAGTAAGCAATGCTGTGGTTAGGAAACCAGTACTAGCTAAGGATGGAAAATCAGTTGGAGTCATGAATGCTCATCAATTAAGGTGGTTGAGACATGTGTTTTGTATGCTCAACCACTGACTGCCTTGCTGAGTGATATTGTATGATGTAGGGGTAGGCAGGAAGGAAATTATGGGTAGCCAAACCAAAACATGGTACAAATACGTTACAACTGGTCTGTCATGTTAGTAGGGGTAAACTACCTGGTTGAGGTACGCGAGAAAATATTAGTCGATAGTTAGACTTTGAATGACATGGCTCAAAATCGTTTGCAATAGTGCAGATGCTTCGATTGTCTTCTGTTAAACTGTAATCTGAATTCCTCATAACCGCTTTTTTCCTTTTTAACTTTATTTAGCTGGGATATGCTTTCGATTCCTGATCCTTTCAATTACCGCTAATACTGTAGCTGGCTGACTGACTGATTATTACAATGAAGATGCTTAATTTCAGCTGGATTTAAACCACAAAATGAATGGTTAAGTTATATGGGCAGTACATCTTGGTGAAATAAAACTTGAGATGAAGGTTCATAGCAGTGTTTTGGATTGGAGAAACTAGATCGGAAATAATGGATATTACACTACTTTAAAGATGACCCTGGGAACCTAATTATAAATTCAGTGTTAAGGACCTGTTTGCTAATTATAACTTTCTTATATTTCAAATTATCTTGGCCTGATATATTTGGCAAGCATTTCACTGACAACTCCGATTTTCGATGTCAGGCATGGTTGCTTAATTTTTGCTATACAGGGATATGGGTGCTTAATTAGGTAAACTAACCAACAGGGTTAGATAAGAATTCAAGTATTTAATAGCTTTAAATCATAGTAGAGGGGATTATATATGGTTGAATATTAGTAGTAAAATTAAGGGTTATGTATAATTAGCACTTTTATGTTTTACACCTCGAGTTCGAACGTACTATTTTATATATAGAACACTGAGTCACAAATTCACGGCAAATAAAAGGGATATATGCACATGTAGAATGAAGCAAAATAATACTCACTTGGGGGTAACTCGTATTGGCCACATTATTCCTACTACGGACAAAATTTAATCCAGGACCTTGAATACTTATGCTCCAACCTCCGTACTCGAGAGAAGTAAACTCATCTACATTTCGCGCATCGTAGTTCTGGCGAGAGCCTTTAGGTGGAGCACCCTAGAGAAAATTATATGGCAATGGAAGTTACCTCAAGAAGTTCAGCTATAGATCGCAGACAATCGAGTACTTTACCCAAATCACCTACCAACTGAATTACCCTGTCAGTAGAGCATGGACACAGCATCTGATAAACTTTGAGAGTGTGAAGACCTGATTGCTAAATTTTTTTGATAAACGCCAAATATTATGAAATACCTCTCGTAACTCTTTGATTTTATATCCACCCCTTCCAATAACACATCCGGCTTGGCTGTGATGTACAAGTAGACGCAAATCAACTCCGTCATCGCGATTACTTTGCATCTGTAGTGTTGTGAACTAGGAACTACACAAGAATACCTTCTCGAGATTCTCTCTGAATATTTCGATTATAGAGCCGAGATCACCATCCAGAACCAGGACCCTTTAGATGAAAAAATATTAGGTTATAATAAGTTAAATAATATTTTTCGGGACACGGGAAAATACCTCTCAGGGCCGTTGCTATCAGGAATGGTAACTTTAACGGAATACTAGTAGTACAAACAAAGAGTAAGAAATGACCCACCGGGAGTGGACCGGATTAGTGAATGGTGCGAAAAGCAGATGGGCAATACGGGGCGGGGTAGGGTGGGTTACGAACCATTGGTTTGGACACATTGGTATTCGAACGGGCCAAGAGTGGGACAAAACCAGAAGAAATGAAAGAGAAAATACACTCACAATTAAGGACTTAGAAAGTTGGAAGGGAGTAAGGAAAACAAAATATCAGTAAATAATTACCTCCTCGCGAATCTTTTTGATATTTTCACCCCCTTTTCCTATTATCACACCCGCTGCCTTTGATGAATTATAAATATCAAAAGTGAATTTACTTTGGTCGATATTAGGAAGCGTAGTTCCACCTTTGGCCCTTCCCCACGCCTCATGCTGTAGAACCTCCTATGTGAAGCCGTCAAGTGTGACAAAAAAACAAATTACCTAAAGCCTCGGTCTAACGTACAACCAGAAGTTTAATAGCCAGGGAAACGTAAGGCTATGCATCGACCGTAGCCCTGGGTCACCCAAACAACAAGCTAAAACAACTCTGCAACATCCAACATCTAACACCTATATTAGTCAAACTTATGGAGAGGTAGCGATTAGTTTTATTTTTGTAAGATCAACACAATATCAATTTTTATTTCTTTCTTTTTAATGTGGATCTATTATAGGCGGGTTTTTCAACCAGGTGGTACGTAACTTCAGTCTTTGGTTGGTTTGCGTTTAGACGGGCGGTACCTCGTGTGCTGGGGGTGTGTGAAGAGCAGCAGGTGGAATTATCTGAAAGCAGAGAAAAAGATGAAACAACGACTCAGTAAGCACACAGAATGCACTTTTATGCAATAGAGCCATAAACAGATAGCAACCAGAAATATAAACAGCTCGAGATCAAGTCAAAATGATAAGCGAAACTAGAAGTTGATTGAATAGGGTTTCGAATGCGTTACAGGTACTGTACCAGCTAGAAAAACTCACGCTTTTCACTCCGAATTCCGCTTTCCAGATTATCTGGATCTGAAGCTTGTTTGGTCACTGATTATTGTTCACTGCCATCCTTAGTCAATGTAAGTGCATTCTATGTTCGTAGTGAGGAGTCTGCTAATCTCTCCCCTCGTTGCGATTTCCCCCACTCACGCTACTCTGCATACTCTACCAGTATCCAGGGTAAATCTAGGATGGATGTGAACATCTAGGGATATATTCTTGACGTGATTTTCACTTGATAAACATTTACTATCCTAAGGAGAAACAAAACCCCTATTAAAGATGGACGGACAATTCAATCAGCCTAACGCTAGGTAAATCACTCTGAAAATAAACTTCTGAAAGCTTGCTACGTACAGCAGGCTCTGATAGACTAGTCTAGTCTGATAGTCTAAAGAGCAATATGATAAGTAATAAAAGGCTATAAAAATGTACAGTGACTGTCAGTCTTCCTGTTCCTCTGTCTATCGCCATTTGCAGTCGTTCTAGGATAGAAGAAGAAGTGAAAATTTAAGAGCATGTAGAAAAACATACTTGATTACGTAGGCGAGCAGAAATGCGAAAAAAACTGGTATGTATGCGTTCATAAACAAAAAAAGAGTGAGAAAAATAAAAGATTTACGGGAAATACCTAAACCTAATTTATTTTATTACAGTATATATATGTGTATTAAAATATTTCTTTGGTTTCCAACACTATTAAGTTTGAAAATGCAAGGATTGAGTTATAGAACTCGGGGAAATAGATAAAGAAGAGATGAACTTTTAGGATGTCCTGCACACAATAGCCGTTTAGATGCATTGAGGGGTTGACAGAATGAGTCTCGATGTACGAAAATGTATATGCTAAGTGGTATGGTAGGTTGGACGAATACGATACTTGATTGAGGTCGAGTAGAAATATGTTTAACTGAACACATTGCGTTCGTAAGCCTGTTTATGTAGGAGTTTAGATTTAGATCCGTTGAAGAAGATGAAGGCTCCACGAATTTTCCTGTGGTTTGAAGTTTCATACCACAAACGAGTTTGGCTGCAGTTCATTCGACGTCCACATTCCTGCATGCATTACAAATTCCGACTAACACGAGTAGAAGAGTTTCAGTCCACTGTGATACGTCCGCAGCTGAAAATGAGGCTTTCAACTGTCAGTAGAATCACTCTATCAAACCGTTAGCTTGCGGATAGTTCAGAATCGTCTGATTCCTAGGATTGTGATTTCAACTGGCTTTCACTGTCTGTGGTAATAGTTGGAAGGTTGCCGGAATTCGTGACCCATCTTTCGATGAAGGTTCAGGCCACTGTTTTCTACAATAATACTTTTGGTAGGTACTGCTTCTGGCCTTCACATGAAACGATCCACACATGTCAAGAGATAATAGTATCTGTTTGAATCCCCTTACGGTCCTACCAAGTCAAAATGATACTGGTTATGATTTCTACCAGGTTGTAAATGAATGTGTCCACTTCCTCACGTCTTTGTTCATACCAGGCCAGTAAAATCGTTTTGCTGTTGACTCGATAGTTGTTCGAACACGTAAATGAGGTTTGTACAACGTACTGGATGCATTGCGTAGATAATCTTTCGGCACTGTTGACGATCCCTACCTGCAGATGTGCCACACATCTGTTTGATACGTAGTTTCAGAGTTAAGTTTGACAACGAAGGTTGGCAATTCGTGTCTTCTTTTGGAAGCTGAGCAGTTTTAAGAAGTTCAATTTCTTGAAGGCTTTTCGAAGTGGTTATGGTGGACAAGCTGTCAGCAAGTACATTATTTGCTCCAGAAATACGTGGTATATCTGAATTAAACTGCGAGATCTAGCACAGTTGTCGGGACACATGAGGACATTATTTAGTTGCAACTGATTCGCGATCGACTATGATCACCACTTTAGCAATTACAAGTGCGTCACCGAGAAGAACAGTTATTCAATAGTAAAGAATATATTTGCCGGCGATTTCGTGGTATCCAGAGAATACCGAAATCGTGCCAGAAAATTGGGACGAAATGACAGAGACAGTGGAGCGAAAATGACAGCAACACAAACCGAAATTTTGCGCTTACAGATAGTAGTAAACAAAGAGGTTCGGTAAAACAGCCACTGGTACAACGGGTTATAATAATGAGTGTTTCTATTAGACCAATGGCGTTCTCTTCACTAAAGTGTATTCACTACAAGCACTTGTCTGAAGACGAGCTAGGAGAAAAGGTTAAAGATCTACGGTTCTCTGTCAAACTACTATATCTTGGTAAATTGTCGTGCAACCATCTGGAGAAGAATGCCAGAGGCGTCAAGGTATTGTTTGTCTATTGTTGTAAGATTCCTCTGATTGCCGAGTCAGATGCATCGACTGAGATGCAAGTGGGTGCTTCGTAGCAGCACTTTCCTTCAATGTGGAAAATTTTTTCATTTTGTCGTCCAAATTTACGGTTTTCACATTTCTACGCAGTTGGTCGGTTAAGCGTCCATGAGTGACGTTCAATTCGGCAGGAGCCGTCTGTAGGAACTTACCAATCCACCAAAAACTGTTAGTTACTTGAATGTGGTTCATTCTATGTAATACAGATTGAAGGTCGCCTTATTTTGCAGAACGTGAATACCGTGAGCTTTAATGTTAAGCACAATAACTCCGAGGCACTTAACTTTACATTTCTGTTCGTTAATAATGATATCATGTTTTCACAGTCGTCGGAAAAAAAGATAAAGACACAGGAGACGAGATTCTCTGTCTGGACCTTTGATAAGGCAGTCGTTAACATGGGCATGCACAAATTCGAGATCTCTATAAACGACACCGAAGAATCTCTGAAAAAGTTTAGCGATATTCCTTAAACCGAAAGGTAGTCGAGTATTAGTTGCAAGAACGGGTCGATTGTGTGTTTAAACGTGACTAGCCATAATCTACAGCCGGAAATTAATGCTCTGCAGACAGTTAGTTCAATAATAGTGTGGAAGGTTCTAAAAGAATGTCACTAGCTATCACTTTTCATTAGTATTATTTTATTTAGTTTTGGATTTAATTGTTTCATTCAGATTATTTACTGGTTGGCATTAGCACGAAGAACACTTACTTCTGTCCTAGTGTCAATGAGATAGCGAAACGTTGTCGTCATGTCACTGGTGTACAACAGATGACTACATCCACCGGCTACAGTTGATGTTACCGGACGCTATTCAAAGAGTCTCTCGGTAGCTTTGGCGTAACATTAATCTCACTGTCGGTAATCCTTTAGGGTAGCTATCAGTTTCTGGAGGAATTACCACAGGTATTGTATTACCCACAACAATTCGGGATGTCTATCAGAAATTTGTTGTAATGGGTTACCTTGGGATTTTTGGATGGTTCGTGGTCATGCCGAAGTAACTGGTGATATTATTACAGAGATCGGAAATTTCGTTTTAGGTCGACTGAAATGCTCTATTGGTGTGTTTTTAAACACTGCTACTTTCGGTAATAGGTATTAAGGGTTAGTAACCCAGAGAAAAAACCTATGTGTCACAAGTATTTCGTGTATATCTGGCTTTCAAGATCCTCTAATCTATCCCCTAAACTGGCCTGACCTAGTTGGATGAAATCACATCATTTCATGATGTTCTTCAAGTAAAAATGAACGGGTTCTTTATCCTCAGTAGACTAATATAATTTGTTCTATAGGCAAACACGAACCCATCAAAAATATCCTTTATCTCACTCCTCACTTTTCCTTGAGTAAAGCTCTTTGAAAAGTGTCCACGAATGTTTCCGCCTGGCCACTCGATTGTAGATTATATGGGATTGAGCGGACATGTTCGGATACGAACATGCCTTTTGGTTACCCTCATCGTATTGTGGAGTGCGCTACTTATAAGTAGTATATGACGCGAATAAATACGTAATGTCCCGCAGCAGAAGATGGGGGAAGATCAACAAAGGAAGAGCAGGAACTCAATGGGATTTGTATGAAACGCATGAACAGTGAAATGTCAGACAATGGAATGATGTTTGTAAATGAATTTCTACAGTGGCCGTTCCAATCGGTTCCAATAGAGGCACTCCTGTACGCTTTTCCCAGTTCCGGGTCCCAACCAATTCAAAAAGGACAAATTTCTAGGAGAAAGCGTCTTTATTAATTAAAAAATGGAAATACAAAGCATTACCTGGAAATAGTGCTTCTTCCAGGGTTCAGTTACTCCGCAGAGTATCAGACACAGTAACAAATAAGTGACGCTAAGTCCAGCGGCCACTGCATCAGTCCAAAAATGTGGCGGTAGCCATATTATATCAAATTTAAACAACATATGTACAGTTCAGAAGCAAACACAAAAACTTCAATATAAGTACAAAATATAGAAAGAATAACAATATACAATGATAAGGTCTCAAATTGGAATCAAATAAAATACCAAAAATGTCAACAGAAAAAGTCCGTCATGTCATAACAAAAATATGTAAACATGGAGGGATTTTCCAAAACACAAAGCATTCAAAAAGGGTTCTACAATGTTTGCAACAGGAACAGTCCAGTTCGATATGATGGATTGATATTTTGCAAATTAACGATTTATGATATGGTTTTCCTATTTTACCAATTATCTCTGTAATTTGCGATAAACACAATTCGGTC